ATTATGAGACATGGAGTTCCGAGGAGGAGACTAATTCACATTGATCAGTGTTCGCTCCAGCGGTGCTCAGAAACCCAGAGGCTGTGGTGAGGAAAATATTAATTTCTTTAATTAAGTGATACTAAACTTTTTTGGTGCAAACATTTACTGGCTTATGTTTGAGTGCTCTCTACAGATCAAATATTACTGATAAAATGATAGGCTTTAGTGCTGCTTTAAATTTAAAATTATTTTCTTTATTCTTTTATCCTCTTGTACCAGGGGTCTCCAAACTAGAAACAAAGTGCCAGTTTACTGCCCTTCAAACTTTAGAGGGGCCAGGCTGTGGTTGGTAGGAGTACAAAATACCGTGGTATTGGTGGGAGTAAATGTTGCCATAAGCTTGATGGTCAGTGGAAGTAAAAAAATTACATCATTGGTGTCAATGGAAGTAATTGTGTCCCATCATTGGTGTAAGTGGGAGAAATAGTTCCCCATCCCTTTTGTTGGTGGTGGAGAAATAGTACTCCACTGTTGTTGTCAGTGGGAGGAATAGTGTTTCATCTTTGGTGTCAGTGAAAAGAATCAGTGGAAGTAATAGTACCCCAAAAGGCCTGACAAAGACAAGCAAAGGACCACATCTGGCCTACGGGCCTCAGTTTGGAGACTCGTGCCGTATGCGGTACTGTATATACAGTTTCCTCTAATTCTAGTGTTACATAGTTGAAACTAAACATATGAATTAGTCTTCCTACTTCTCTCCCGAGGCCACTGAAATCTGCACTGTCCATTAGAGGCCATTGGTGGCACTTGTAAACAGATTAACATGATATCAGCAGCAAATCTGTAGTGTAAATCTGTGTACATTCTTGTGTACAGATCACCAATGGGGACCAATTAAAATGTGAAAAGTGGGTGGAGCCTGAAGGATGCAGCAAAATGAAGAGTTATAAAAAAATGGAAAGAATGACCATTATAATTGAGAAAATGCAGACTAAATTGTTACAGGTAGAAATGTCAAAAAAAATAGAAAATTGTTTTTAATTAGATTGGATCAACACTTGGGTTGGCATATGTACTTGCCGAACAAAAGCTTTTAGCTGAGGAATTTTTTAGATGATGGCTACCTGTTTTTTGGGGTAAAAAGCAGGAGTATGAGGGTCACAAAGCATTTGATCTCTGACCAGGGGCGGACTGACCATTTGGAAACTCGGGCACTGCCCGAGGGCCCAGGGTCAGTAGGGGGCCACATGAGATGCCCCTGGTACCTTTTTCATAGGCTTTTTTTTGAGTTTCGGCAAGGACACAGGGGCCCCATGATCCCCTATTGCCCGGGGGCCCCATGAGTTGTCAGTCCGCCCCTGTCTCTGACCATAATCTTTCCCCTCCAAGACAAAATGGAGACAACATTATGGTGTGTTTGTCAGTTGTAAAAGAGTGTCATGGGGGTTCCGGTTCTAACTTTTCATGGAGTCCCAGAGGAATTTAATTTCACCCGAGGTATGACTCATAGCATTCATAGCATAGCATAGAATAGGTGGACATGAACTGCAAAATTAGTCAAAGAAGATATTTCCAAAAAAATAAATGTAACAGCTCTGAATCTGCTAATCAAAAAGCATGCAAATCCTTCTCTTCAAACCATAGGCACCGAGTGTCACAGTTCCAGCCATCGCTGAATACATTAGCAGGTTTCTGCTAAAGTTCCACAAGAACATTGTTAGGAATAGCTGAAGAAAAGAAAATCTTCTTAGTTATATGTGTTTGGGTTGTATAATTAGGAATCAGGAACTTCCCTGGGAAGGGCACAGTTCCTAACCCAGCTGTATGATGAGGTGTATTATGGGCAACTTCAGCACCTTTCCAAAACCAATATATAATATAAATACATGCTGTATTACTTGCTGTTCATACTCACTCAGTCACTGTTGTTCTGTATTTTGCAAAAAAACTGGCTGATCCTGCTGTTCTCTATCTCCCCATCCAGTCCATGTCTCCATTGTAGTTAGGAATTTTGTAGTGTTCACAGCTACTAAATATTCTCAGTTTTCATTGTATTTCTACCTTGAGCATTTCCTCCCTATCACATATGAACAGCCCATGTGACTTTAAAGTTACACATGTGGGCTTATAGACAGTGGTAAATGACAGCCCATTCACTTCCTCTTCCTCCATGCCCACTAACCAGCTATATAGAGTGGGGGGTGTGATATTACGTCTTGATGGATGGAGGCTTCACCACCCTGTTATTTTAGGGCACAGGCTGGAGGGGACGTGACACCGTCTGTGACTGGCAAAAATCCTCCTGCACCATGTTATTTTAAAAACCTAATAAAGATTCTAATTTAAATATATATTTGTAGGACAGTTTAAAAGAGTTTACTGATATGAATTATTTATTTTTACTCTGTATTCCAAAGGCTAGAAGCTCCTTCTGCTTATGTTTCTCCTCAGACAGGCTGAGAAAGTGCTGGGTCATATGACAGTTGTATATCAATTAGGAAAAAGGTACTTAGATGTTTTTTTTTTTTTATTAAATTACGAGGGACATTCAAGTCAATTGGGTTGCTTAATTTTACAGGTATAAAAAGGGATGCTAGTGTGGCGGGACTACACGCAGTAGTAAGTGCCAAGTGTGTCCTGTTACTGGTAGGTGGCGCGCATTTTGATTACCTGTCCAGAGACTGTTAAACAAGATGGCAGACAACAGTGTTAGTGCGTGCATGGAACAGCGTGTGGGGAGGACATTTCTTGTGAACAAAGGCTTAAAACCTGCAGATATCTACAGAAGACTTCAAGCACAGTACGGCGATGAGACCCTCAGCCGCAGTAAGACATTTGCATGGTGTAAATGTTTCAAAGATGGCTGTACTTCTGTCGTCAGTGACGATTCTAGCCGTGGTGGTTCCCAGCCCACAGCAGTCATTCCTGTATACATTCAGTGAATGGAACGCCTGATCCTGGATAATTGGTGCCTGACCTGTTGTGAATTTGCACAAGAGGCGAATCTTTCTGTAGGAACAGTGAACACAATGATGATGAAGTGAAGCAGGCTGTCCTAGGTTGATTCAGGCGTACTGACAAATCTTTCTATGTTGAAGCTTTCCAGGCATTGGTTAAACCCTGGGATAAGTGTATAAATGTAGCAGGGGAGTATTTCTAAAAATGAATGCAGTTTGTACTCCTTGAAATTGAAGATAAATTTGTATCCCATTATTGCACATATGGTTTTCTGACTACTGAGCGCCAGTCATTTTATAAAAATTAAAAGTCAGCAGCTACAAAAACTTTAGCAGCTGACTTTTAATAAACAGAAAGTTACCTGCCCCCAGATACAGCGATGTACTCATATGAGGGGTGCCATGTCCTGTCTTCATTCTTTGGGGAGCCAGCATCTTAGCTGTTGGCACCCTGCTATGACAATTTCACAGCCAGGTGCCCACTGTGCATGCATGATCCATGCTGCGCACTGTGATTGGTCCCCGCAGTCTTCTGGTACCTGTGCTGAGCAAGCAAGCACACAGTAGGATCCTTCAGGATGGAGATTGGTGGAAGGGTCACATTTACCAGCCCCTTTCTTTCCTGGATGAACACAATGAGTGCTCAGTATCGATCACTCACTGTGTTCATTCATAACTGAAGCATTGAAAACTGTGTTTTTTTGGGGAGGGCCCTGTCAGGTTGGCTGTATGGGGCCCCATGGTTTCTAACAGCAGCCCTGACCATACATTGCCTTTTTATTAGAAATAAGTGAACACTACCACCCCACTGAAGAAAGCACATGCAATAAAATGCATGTGATACACTATAATTTGTAGAAAATTGGGGCTGATTTACTAAAACTGGAGAGTGCAAATGCTGGTACAGCACAGAAACCAATCAGCTTCCAGTTTTTTTTTAGAATCTGATTGGATACTATGCACAGCTGCACCAGATTTTGCACTCTCTAGTTATCTCTCTAGTTTTAATAAATCAATTCCATTGTGTGTTGCGTAGCAGTGCCATTCATTTAGAATGAACCGCAAACCAAAGGTGTGTAATTACCAACTGACCTCATCTACAACCAGGGGCGGACTGACCATTTGGAAACTCTGGCACTGCCCGAGGGCCCGGGGTCAGTAGGGGGCCCCATGAGATGCCCCTGGTACCTTTTTCATAGGCTTTTTTGAGTTTGGGCAAGGACACAGGGGCCCCATGATCTCATATTGCCCAGGGGCCCCATGAGTTGTCAGTCCGCCCCAGTTTACAACTTGCTCTAAAACAAATGAATGGGCTGTTTTAGTGCAGTTCATGTTGCCATACAAAATAACACAAAGTTCCAAAAAGTCCAAAAAACTCACTTGTTTTGCACAGGTTAACTATGTTCAGATTTATGTGCTGAAGCCTTGACCCATTGTTTTCATAGTGTGGTTTCAGATGTCTTAGGATGGTATACATTGCACCCAGACTGCTGTATGCAGGGATTTGGTGTGCTGTACTTTAGCATCAATGCTAATGCACAAATTACTCCTTTCCCAAACCTGTGCAGAAATTTTAATGTGCGTTTTCAAGCGGTAAAACACTTACTAAAATGCAGCGATGTGAAACGAGTCCTTGTCCCTGCGGAGGAGTTCTCTGCTGCATTGGAGCGTAAAAGAGAATATCTGAGTTCAGTAGTTTGGTTGTGGACAGTACTAGGTGTATGACGATCGCTTTCTGGCATCGATGGATCGACGATTTTTAAGCTTCCTGGTTGGTTTCAGACTGAGGCCCAGGTGACTACATTTACACCCGTTACTGCGTTGAAGATGAGTATGCTATCTAGTTCATACTATCTGATTACGTTGATTGCCTCATCAGGGGCGTCCCTAGGGTTGGTGTCACCTGGGGACGGAACACTTGGTGACTCCCTTTCTGACGATCCCTGCAGGATGGATCGGATCTGCGGATTGAGCATAATGGATCGGAGTCTGCTCCATTATCCTCCCCAGTCCGCAGATCTGATCCATCCTGCGGGGATCGTCGGCAACCAGGGGCGGACTGACAACTCATGGGGCCCCCGGGCAATAGGGGATCATGGGGCCCCTGTGTCTTTGCCCAAACTCAAAAAAGCCTATGAAAAAGGTACCAGGGGCATCTCATGGGGCCCCCTACTGACCCCGGGCCCTCGGGCAGTGCCCGTGTTTCCAAATGGTCAGTTCGCCCCTGCTTGCAACCTATATGGGGTTAACTGATCTCTCCACAAGCTCCATGAAAGGTAAGTTTTAAAGCAAGCCGACGATCCCCGCAAGATGGATCAGATCTGCATATTTAGCATAATGGATCGGAGTCCGATCCACTATGCTCCCCAATCCGCAGATCTGATCCATCTTGCGGGGATCGTTGGCTTGCTTTAAAACTTACCTTTTCGTGGAGTGGGTCCAGTGTCACCCCGTGCAATAGGTGTCACCCCGTGCAGCACTCAACCCCCGCACCTGCCTAGGGACACCCCTGTGTCTCATTGCTTCATATTTAGTTTGGAATCTTAAAGAGTCAAATTTCCCTTTTAACTTTTACCATTTGTTTGACATCATAATTTCACAACTGATCTGTATACCACTGTACCATAAAGGGTGGCTTAACACTGATCTGCTGTGCTTAGGCCGCAGCACAGCGTATCCATGGTTGTCATACGGATTGACTGCACTTCCCATAGACTTCTATTTGTCCTGCGGGTTTGCTGTGTTTTCTGAAAGCGCACCAAAAGTCATGCATGAAATTCAATAAGTGTGAAGTCACTGTCTTAGAACAAGTATGCAGGTCACAAGTTCTGACGTTTACTAGTTCCTGGACAGCGCCTTGAAGAGGTGACTTTAGAGACAGCCAGGTCACCGGCATTTTTGGAAACAGGTTAGTAATGACAGCCTCCATGTTTCTCTCAGTTTTGGTTTCCTTTCATGTTTGCAGCTATACACAAACTACAGTATGTATATTCACCCCTTCAAAGTTTGTTATAGAAGTCCATGAAGGGTGCGGATGTGTACCATTGTGACGTGAAATGTTCTGCATTTGCTTAAACATATTAATAATACATGCATGTTTAAACATAGACAGGCAAAAGGGATCTTTATAGGAACTTGTCAGGATGGAAATGTATTAAAGCTGATATTGTTAACTTCCTGTTATCCTGATCCTTCTTTATGTACTCACTGACTGGGACTAAGCATCAGGGGATATTTATAAAATAATCACATTGAAAAGAAAATGTGTGAATGTGGAAAGTACCATATTATCGCCACTAGATGGTGCAGAGTATAATAAGATTTAAAGGATAAGTTCACCTTTTAACAAAAAATAATAAATGCAAATTTTTTTGCAGGTAAAAAAATGCGCATTTATTATTTTTTGTTTATGTGGCAACTAAAACATTGCACAAGTGATCAGCAGATTGCTGGTGCCATGCAGGTCTCCCCCTGACCTGTCTGTATAAATGCTTGCCCGCACATCCTGTACGGGCTAGCAGATACTTACTCTCGCTTGCCTGCTGCCTTATAGCAGAAATACTGCTACAGGTCGTCAGGGCTGTGCAAAATCACGTATATATGTGATTTTGCATTTTGGGTAGGGGCGCGCACACGCCCTTCCTGCACCATCATTGGTGGCTTCAGCTGTCAATACAGATCTAAACAATACAGATCTCTCCCCTGTCAGCTCCAGCATGCTGCTTAGCAGAGCAATACAAAGCAGTGTGCTTACACTGTAAAACACACACACAGCAACCCTTTGATCGCTCCTCATGTTAACCCCTTCCTGCCCAGTGTCATTAGTACAGTGTCAGTGCTTTTTTTTTTAGCACTGATCACTATATTAGTGTCAATGGGAATGTCAGTGACAGTAAGTTCCCCCCTCAGTGTCAGAATGCCTGCTGCATTCCCGCTATGTCGTTGATCTCCACCATTACTATTATAAAAAAAATTCCATATATATATATATATATCGCCATTTGTAAAAGCTATAACTTTCATGTAAACCAATTAATTTACACTTATTGGGTTATTTTTTTAGCAAAGACATGTAGCAGAATACAGTTTGCCCTAAATTTATGATGAAATTTGCTTTTTACATTTTTTTACTGGACATGTTTAATGGCAAAAAAGTTTTTTTTCTCAAAATTGTTGGTCTTTTTTTGTTTATAGCACAAAGAATGAAAAACGCACAGGCGATCAAATACCACTGAAAGAAAGCTTCATTTGTGGGAAAAAGGACATAAATTTAATTTGGATGCAGCGTTTCATGACTGCGCAATTGTCAGTTAAAGTAACGCAGCGCCGTATCGCGAAAAATGGCCTGGTCGGGGGGGGGGGGGGGGGGGGGGGGAAATCCTCTGGAGGGCAAGTGATTATGTAGTCTCTAAAAGCATTGCACCAGTGATCAGCAGATCGGGGGTGCCATGCAGGTCTCCCCATGTCCTGTCAGTGTATCTGCTTGCTCGTATATGCTGTATAGGCAAGCAGATATTTATTGACAGGAAGGCTCAGTGAACTACCACAGTGCTGTGGAGCGCCGTGGTAGCTCATTGAAAACTACAAGCCGACAGCCACAAAGGCTGCCGGGACTTGTAGTTTTCCCATTCACAGAACACTGTGAATGACTGATGCAGCGAGGCGTGCGGAGCCCGCACAGACGCATTTTTAAAAAATTGTGATAGCTAGCACAGAAAGAAAAGATCCCCCGCTAGCTGTCACAAAGGGGATTTGGGAGGGGAAGAGCGGAGGCCGATCTGATCATACCATGTTACATGATACTGTATACCCTGAATATGGGTGTAACATGTACCATGTTATGAAAGGTGAACTTATCCTTTAAATATGCTCTTCAGCACTATCAAGTGGCTTTAATGTTGCTTTTTGCCCACTCACACTTTTCTTCAATGTATAATATTTGATCTGCAGGGAATATAGCCTGAGAACATTCAGTTTTGCCCCATTTAGACATAACAAATTTACATGCAGTTTTGATGGATGGACAGCTAAGCAAATTGTATTAAAATACGCTAAGTGTCAGTGCAGCTCCGCACTTCAAAGACAAATCATAAATGGTTGTTTCAGTATTATGAAAGATTCCCTTTAAGACAGCCTAACAGACAGAGCAGTTTATGTATGAAGTTCGTGTAGTGACCTTGTACAAAAATGCTTAAAGCGGAGTTCCACTCACCCTGTCAAAAATAAAAGTCAGCAGCTACAAAAACTGTAGCTGCTGACTTTTAAAAAACAGCCACTTATCTGTCCCTTGGTCCCGCGGTGTTTGTCCCCCGCAGCCCGTTTCACCGGCCGTCCTGTATTCCAGGAGGCCGCCATCTTCAGTGTGGGCAGCCAGCTGTGATAGCTTGCGGCTTCACAGCCGGGTACCCACTGCGTGTGCGTGATTAGCACTGCACTTCTTGAATGGTCCTGTAGTCTTCTGGGACCTGTCATGTGTCCCAAAAGACTACAGAGAGGGAGGGTAGGAGGACAACTTCCATTTCCAATCACCTAGGCGATCGAACCGGAATTGGGTACCTGTAAATTTCGGGTACCAGCTCCCCGCCCCCCAAAGGTGCCAATCCTTAATGGGGAGCGGGGGAGCAGTCCTTAAAGGGGACCTTCCCCTTTTGGGTGGAGCTCCGATTTAAGTGGCTGCCCCTCATCCCATGTCCACAAAACACACTACCTTACAAAAAAAAAAAAAAAGCAAAACATTGAAAGCAAAAACAGAACAAATACTCACCTGTCACTGTGGTCACCGGACCTGACAGAGGGGTCTTGGGAAAGCGCAGGATCTCATTTCTCATTAAAAGATATTACAGGACTGTGCAGGAAAGTCTTACTGTGAGATTTGGGATCCTTACTGCAAGAATAGCTATTGATTTCGCCTTCACATAGGTAAGCCCAAAGACCAGAACTAAGGTAAGTATTGTTTACAACTTTCCTTCAAAGTGCTTTGCATGCAGGGGATGGTGGGGAAACCACATAACTGAACCTTGCATTTTAGTCCAAAAAAAAAACTGGATTAAAGGAAGTACAGAGATTATCATTACAATCCATTCCTTCTAAAATACTAGTTACCTGGCTCTCATGGTGAATCAAAGGCTTCAGCACTTTCTGAAACAGTGACTCAGAGCAACTATGCAGCAAGGATGAGCTTTGGTGCAGACTGAGGCTGCATTCACACTTGAGCGTTTTGTAGCTTGAAGCTCCAAAAATGCTCAAACTTAAAAAAAAATCAATTGTTCTCTATGGAGCCTGTTCAAGTGATCAGGTGTGAACAGGCACTATAGAGAACAATTGATTTTTCAAGCTTGAGCTTTTTTGGAGCTTTCAACTTCAAGCTACAAAACACTCAAGTGTGAATGCAGCCTGATGTTGGTAAGCTGTATTGCTGGGCCAATGAGCTTCAGGTGGGAGATTTGTCACCCTGCAGATGTATGTATACAAAGGGTTTTGGATGACTTAAATTGGTCTTATTATGACAGTGATAATGATGTCACAAGCATCCCCGCCCCTTGGTTACATGCAGCTGCAGGGTAGGGAGTCTCTTGCCCTCAGCCCTTTGTGCTGGCAGGGATGTGGTCATGTATATAAGAGGTAAAAGTGAGCGCATTGGTTATCTAGCTGCTGGCATTAAAGGTCAAACCTCTTACCCTCTAACAATCATAAATATAAAATGCAGCACTGAGAAGAGACCAAAATATAACTAACATTGGCGCTTAATAGCGCTATAAGTGATCAATACGTATATAGTGAACCGTCATGTAATGACGCATATGAACGTGATAATAAATAAATATAAAGTGACTTATGTGTATAATGAATATTGACCTAATTTCAGCAAGATAAATAAAGTCCAAAATTTCAAGTGATCCGTGCTGGTGAAATCCGTGATTGAAACCGGTAATGTGATTGCACTCACCAGAAGCGCAAAATTAAAGCGCAGGTGTATATATTATCCCAGTGTGGTCATCGGGTTACAGGTAAGCATGATGGAATCATCTGGCACACAGTCAGCATACAAGACCACTCCAGTCTCACTCACAGGACCCTCTCAGCATCCAGGGACAACTCTAGGTAAACCTCAGACCACCGGATAAACTCCTCAGAGAAGTAAGTATCTCTCCACCTTGGAGGCTTATTAACCTCCCTAGCGGTCTGATTATGTCAGTATTTCTGTGCTCAAAGCGGTACTTTTTTTTGCATGGAAATATGTTGTTTTTTTATTGTAGGCCTGTAATTTTTAGGAATAACTCACTGAAATGTGTCCGAACAAGTTTAGTAAACATCCCGGCTATAATAAAACTTGAAACACAAAACATAAATTATAATATAATAAATAATCATAAAAAATAATAATATAATAATAATACATTTAATTTAATAATATAATCAAAACAAAAACACTGAAATTTGAAATAGAGCACCAAGTTCGCACATTGCTGAGTTCAGTAGCAAAATCGTGTCTGATGACGAATTTCCCCACAAATCATTATCACTCAATTCTGCAAGTGATTCTAATTTACTATCGCTGTTCTCTAGTTGGTCTAAAACCGCTTTTGACCTAAAGGGACGCTTTTTGGACGCCATGGACAGGCAGAAAGAACAGTAAAAATGCAGACAGGGGACAGGACAAAGCACTTGGGACAAAATGTATGTGAAATGGTTTGATACAGTAATGTTTTACTATATGATTTTAGTGTATTGAGTGAATGTCACTTTTTACACTTTTGAATTTCCTGTCGGTTCCGTCCCCCGTACGTCCCGACGCTCCCAGGGAACGGAACCCGGAAGACAGATGCCGGCATCGGCCGGAGGACATTGCCGGGGACACTGCAGGGGGGACATCGTGGGAGCGAAGGACAAGGTTAGTGCAGAAGGGATCCCGGAGCAACGCTGCAGGGTATTCCTGAGTGTATCTCGGGGTTACCGTTTGTGGTACTGAAACTTTACTCCGAGCTACACTCGGGAATACCGCCAGGGGGGTTAATATCAAGCCAGAAACAATGAGGTGCTAATAGTGTAGTATTTTTATTGGAATCGAGGAATATTATATAGTAGCAGAATGAAATAAGTAAGCAGCACTCACTTAGGGAAAAGTTAAAATGGCTGCCGGCCTTCCATGCGGCTGTCTGCATGACGTCACTACGGCAGGCTGGTCATGTGACAGCTTCCTGCAGGTTCCGGTGAACTGGGTTTGGACTGGCTTTGGATCTGAATCAAGCTCATCCCAAAATCATTTCTGACTTTCTTGCATGCTTGTTTCATGTCAGAAACTCAGAAATTGCTGAAGCCAGGGAATCCATATGACAGCCAGGATAGGGTTGCCACCTCATCCCTTTAAACCCGAACACATATTAGTTACACAGGTTCTGAGGCTATTTAATGCAGACAAGGCACTAAGTGAGTTTAACTATTAGCCGCCCGGCCAATGGCCGAGTGGTGGCGTGCAAAATCCATTAGCGTTCCGGGTGGACGCCATATGGCGTCCTCCCAGGCATGCGCAGTTTGTGCGCCTGCAGAGCCACGCAGCGGCGCGATCTGTCACCGGCCGTGTACCTCTGAGTACCGGCCCCATTGTATACAACTACCATGTGACCTGCTGTGACCAATCACAGCAGGTCACATGACAGTTGTATACAATGTATGGCTTCATTCATGCCATCCATTGTATACTAGTGTGTGTAGCTGTGATTGGTCACAGCGATCACATGCACAAGCTGGGCTAATCACAGCCCAGCTGTGTCATGTGATTAGCCATGGCCAAATCACAGCTAAGCACAAAAAAAAAACCCCTGAATGAATCGATGTCATTCAGGTAAATGCTTGCTTATAGCAAAGTAATTCTTTGCTATAAGCAGATTGTGTAAAAAAAAAAAAAATACCGATCACTCCCCCAAAGTAGTACAATGTTACTACCCCCCCAAAGTAGTACAATGTTACTACCCCCAAAGTAGTACAATGTTACTATGGTAACATTGTACTATTTTGGTCATAGTGAAATATGAAAAAAAAATCGTAAAAAAATGTAATAAGAAATTAAACATAATAAAAAAAAATAAAAAAAAATTATATATTTTTTTTTCATACTGTCACCAGTCAGTGTCCCTGTTCACCGCCATGCCAGTTATATGATGACGCTGTACTGCACTGGTGACAGTATGTAAAAAAAAATAGTGAAAATAATTTTTTTAAATTTTTCATTTTCCAAAAAATTATGACAAAAAAAATACAACTTCAAAAAACTCGCCATGCCTATTATGTAATACGTCGGACTATCTACTCTGCAAAAAGGGGTCATTTGGGGATATCTGTACTGTTCTGACATTCTTGGACCTCAAGAAATTAGATTGGCTGTCAGTACTTCAGGATTGATCAATATTCAGATCTATCCCATAGTTTGTGAACTCTATAACTTTTCTACAAACTAAAAATACATCCTAATTTGGGTTATTTTCACCAAAGACATGTAGCAGAATACATCTCGGCCTAAATTTATGAAGAACAATTATTTATTTGCAAACATTTATATCAGAAACAAAGAAA